TGCAGCAGAATTGCTATACGGGACATCATTGCGACTTCCGGGTGTTCTTTTTAAACATAGAGCAAACTAATCAGCCTCGATTATTTTTAGAGCGTCTCATACAATTCATTTGCTCAGTCATTCCTGTTTCACACTATAGGAAGAAAAAATCTTTTTTTTATCGAGACCTCTATACATACGTTTTTATTAGAGTAGACTCTACAAAGAAGCCTGGAATCCCCTTATAAAAGTCCCTTCCAGGTTCTCCAACGAATTTCAAACAAAGTTTTTAAAGTAGACTTAGAAGTTACAACTATTTTTACTAAAAGATTAAAACCCGCTTTTTTTAAAGTTACTCCTGGGTCTCAAATCATAAGCGACCAACATACGGAAATCCTACCTACACCTTTCCATACATACCAACGATCTAAGAAAGTTTAATTTGCATCTTAAATTTTTAAATTACTCGGAGGGAAGTACTTGTGACGTTCTCGAACACACCATAACTGGTCATGTTGACAAACCAGCAAAAGAAAAACCTACCCGGTTTCTAGTTACATCTCGTTCAAATATTCTTTTTGCCATTTGATATTCGTTACTAAGAGCACATGTTAGCAACCATTAAAATAAAGTTTCTTATACTAACCGTTTTGTTAAGAAGAGTATTTCTTTATTGGGAATATATCCCATAACCAATCTGGTACTACAATCGTACAAGTTTTGCAAGATATCTGTGAAAATTGTAGCCATTTTGTTCAGTTGTTGTTTGAAAATCATTTGTACCAGTCGATGTCAGTGTTTTCGTTTAATGAAAATCTGTGTTTTTTGAGCCTAACTTTGAGCCTATAGGAAACAGGAACAAGTCGTTAAGGATCAGATCTGATGAATACGGTGGATAGTTAATTAATTCGAACCACAATTTGTTTTGTGTGATGATGATCGTCGATATTTGATTTTTTCCATTTTTATAAAAACACTGATATCGATTGGTACAAATGACTGTCAAACAACAACTGAGCGTCCAAAATGGCTACAATTTTCACAGATATCTTGCAAAACATGTACGATTGTACCAGATTGGTTATAGGATATGTTCCCAATAAAGAAATACTCTTCTTAACAAAACGGTTAGTATAAGAAACTTTATTTTAATGGTTGCTATACATGTGCTCTTAGTAACGAATATCAAATGGCAAAAAGAATATTTGAACGAGATGTAACTAGAAACCGGGTAGGTTTTTCTTTTGCTGAGCCAGGTTGGTTTTTGCTGCCAGAATGGTTTCGACGAGCAATATCATCTTCATGTTGAGGGTCAAAACTTTTTAAACGAACCTCGTAGAAGATATTTATTAACATATGCGTATATCCTAAATTAGATGTTGATATTAATGTAGTATCATGAAATTCAAACAATTGTATTGTAGAATGGAAGAATTTCTCTTTTAATAGTTAAATTTGATGTGAGATGAATCAAATTAAACAATTTTATTTTTTATAAAAATTTATTCTGTGTGTGATGCATAAAAATATAAATTGTTTTATAATCTATTATTTATGAATTGGTAAAGAATAAATATTTTATCATTTTGCTCTGCAAAAACGTAAAAATATAGATTGTAATCAATTTAGAAAGAGCTCATTTATAGAATATTTACAAAAGTTTTTGAATATTATCTAAAAAAAGATAAATACATTTTTTATTAATAAATATGTGATATATGGTGGAAGTCCACGATTCATATCTTGCAAAATATATCTTATAACTATATTTATCTTCTGATAAATCTCTATTCCGAATATTCTTTACCATTTATAAACAACGCTCTTATATAAGTAAAGTTTTATATCTACCTACATACATTCGTCTTTAAGGCTTCTGAGTCTTTAAGACTCCTCCATACCATACTGAATTATATAATCATATTGAATTACATCATAATCGAAAAATATGTCATAAGCGACACGTTAATTTTTCTTGCATATCATTTGTAAATAAAGAGATCATTTGGATGAAACAAAATTTTTGAAACAAATGATAAAATCGCTTTAAAAAGTTTGTAAAAATAGATCGAAACTATCCTTACCCTAACAGTCAATAAATAGTCATAAAAGGCATGTAAAATGTGTTTACTAATTTTTACTTAATGCGCATGCGTAGCCTATTTTCACTTTACGAACCTTTTTCGACTAATTACTGACTTAGGAAAGATAAGAATAGTCTTGGCCCATTTTTACAAATATTTTAAAGCGATCTCGTTATTTTCTTTCATTCAAATTTTGTTTATTTACAAATAACATGAAAGAAAAATCAATGTGTCATTTCTCGCTTATGACGTCACGATTCAATATGGCTGAGATGACTACTCAAAAACCTTAAATTCTTTTGTATTTCATATATTTATTAATAATAATGCAGCGTAGCAAACTACTTCATAATTTTATTAATCCGACCGTCTATCTGCAAAATAAATTCCATGTTTAGCAATAGAACCCAACTATACTTTAGCTCCATCGAAGCAAAATATGAATTAAATCAGTCAAAGCTCAAGATTAATAAAATTTTTAGTAATATAAACAACTTAACTTTTTTAAAATCTTTTCGCTGCAGTATTTTCGCTTCATTACATTTGTTGCAATGGTTTATTTTTAAAAAATAAAATCATTTAATTCGGAAGTGCAAGCATTTGAAATGAAGAACGCAAATATAAACTAAATTTTGAATTAAAATCACTGCTCTATCATTTTTATTTTTGCGATAATATAAAACTTTAATGCGAGCCATGCTAAAATTATATATTTTCAATATCAAAGAGACATATAAACAAATTATTTTTTTTATATTAAACATTTATAATAAACATAATATTAAACGTAGAAACATTCATGTATATAAAGAAATCTAAAATTACATCTTTGACGATCTTTATTGTGAAGAAATTATAGAAGGCCTCGAGCTTTCCTTGAAAAATTATATTTTGACATTAAAAAGTTGTTGCAATATCGCATTATCGAATTTATGTAACTGTTCCACACAAAGCACAATTGAATTATAAAATGCTAGAGGAATATTCATAAGTTATGAAGAAAGTATTGTTAATAACTTTAATAATTAATAATTTTGTTAATAATTGTAATAATTACATTCGTAACCTATAAATATTACAATTACAGCTTACAATTCGTTTGCTTTGCGTATACGTTCAAATAAACCCGAAGTTTACTTATTTTTATTTATTTATCACAAATAAACCGGAAAACTGTTTTGTAGATCTGGACGATTTTGTTTTGCATCGCATTGTTTTTCTCCGCGAATACTTCCGCCGCTTCTGATCGTCTTGACATCCCGTTGCGAAGAACTCTATACTAGTACCATGACCGATATTTTCACCGTTTTTCAATATGTTTCGTACATTTACACTGTACATGCAGTCGTTTTGAAGCTGTCGCAAATCATAATGAGATGCCTGAAAATAATTATACGATAGATGAGGTTAAGACATATCGAGACTTATTTCTCTTTTTTTTTTTTCATTATTATATAAGTATTAAAATTATCAAATTTTTTTAAATTTTATTTTCTTAAATAATGGAAATCGAGATCTGAGAAAAAGAACATCAATTATTTCAAATTGTTTAATATTTTAAATTAAAAATTAAATTTGGAATCTGTTTTGGTACAACTATTTGAAATAATTTCACGTATTGAAATTGTTAAAAAACTGTTTTGCACAGTTCTAAATTGAATAATGTAATAAGCATTGTTAAACTTTTGTAAATATGAATACATCAAATACAACACCATCATTTTGATCAAAGTTAGATATTTTGAATAATATAATATATATTCTTTATTAAATAAATTGATTTCAGATATGATTGCGCTCCGATAATTTTTGGACTTTCAACACAATTAGCCTAAAACGCTACTAATCCCCCTAAATTCTCCCTAAATTAAATTAGAAAAACTGTAAAGAAGTTATTGCAAAAAATATTATCTCAGCCAGGTTTCGAACCTGGGACCTCTCGACTTTCATTTCAAGATACTTGCCCCAGAAAGTCAAGGAAAAATTCTCGGAATCGAAATGATGACGTTCTCTGTCGTATTTGATGTATTCATATGTGCGGTCGTTCTAAAAAATAGGTGTATATGTGTTTTTTAAATATGTTATTGTTTCAAAGTCTAGGGATACGTTCCGAGTTACGCATAAAGCACATGATGCATTTGTCTTTGTTGTTCACTAAATAATAAAAAAGGATAAAATGATACATCATGCGCTTCATGCATAATTCGAAACTCATCCTAGGAAACTATGAAATAATTGAAGCAATAATTAAGATAACAAAAGCAATTAATGCTCTTTTCAAAAAAAATATTTATAGAATTCTTATTTTTTATAGAACTGCAATTATAATTTCTATTAACAATTTAAAAAAATACAATATTAGAAACTAAAAATTTTTTCTTTTAAATAATTTATTTATTAATTATGTTACTATATTGTTACTATATTTATTTATAAGTTATTTCATTATTTTTTACTATTGTAACTATTTGTTGTTATATAATTGTACACAATTAAATTCGGTGCGTAATTTTACATTGAGATGTATTTTATATATTTCTTATTAAATTTACGAGAATTTGTCAATCACAGCAATGATTGTTCTTTGCAAAAACACAATGATAAAGGAATTTGAAATTAGCATACCTGAATCACTTTCCAAGAAGTGGATTTCCGACGATGTTCCGGACCTTTCTTGCGTGAACAGGACTCCTCTTGCCAAGTGAGATTATACCTGCTAGCGTCGCTACTTGTTGGCCAAACTAGACGCGCCTTGACTTCTCCACAATGGCAATTCATGCGACGCACATGAAGACCGGTCTGCGTTCGTTCGCATCTGCGAGAACGTCTCCCGACGTCGGCTTCAATGAAAGGTCACTGCTTTCGTTGGTTATCCCGATTACACTGGACTTAGAAGGGAGACTGAGGGAAGGACTGATGAGCTATCATTATCGAGGATCGAGTCAGTTTGGTACCTTACCGTACGCCATATAATCGGTGCTATTGAAGACCTTGGACGCTTTGCGTGAAGTAAGACGTCGACCACCATACATCGCCACCGCCTGCACCTGAAGGAAGTACTGGCACTTGAGCTCCAAATTTTTCAATTCATAGCAGGTCTTATCCTGAAAAGCAAGTACAAAAAACTCGATTACGTTAAAAACGTCTAGTCAGATGAAAAAATTATTGGCAAAATCCCGAGTATTCAAAACTAAGCTAAAAATTGTTATTGATTAATAATAAGTTAATTAATCATAATTAATTACACAGGCCGACATATGACATACATGAGACATGAATTTTGACCCAGAAACAGCAGTATGTGATCCTGAACATTTCGGACATAAAACCAAATTCGTAGCCCAAATTACTCCATCAAATTTCCGAGATATTTTAATTTTTAAGTGTCAAAATGGCCTATTTCAAACATTTTTCGATTAGAATATCTCGTAAATTTAATATGACAGAGAAATATGGGCTATATTCGAATACAGTATGAAAAAATCTATGAAACTATAATTATAAATGGGTCAAAACAATATAATAAAAAAAAATAGATATATTTCAAATATTTTATCGCGATTATCCGAACTTAGAGTTACGAACAGAAACGGTTATGTGACGGTTATGAACTCCATATTCTTTTTATTCTTCATTTTTTATTAATTATTCTTTTTCTTAACTTTTTAAAATTTTTAAGGTTTTATTTTTAATCTTTTTGATCTTTTTTATAATTTTTGTTATATATATATTTTTGCGAATTTGGCCGGCTTTTTTCTCTTACAAGAGAAGTGACGATCTTGTATCGTTAAATGTATATCATACCTGTGGCAAGGCTGCTACAGGTTTTAAAACTAACTATGTATTAGCTGACTTGGTGAAGAAATTGAAGGGGATGGTGATAGTAGCGGAATTGGCTAAGAGCGGTGAACGTACTTGCAATTAAAGCTCGGGATACCCGCGTATCTAAGTACCCGCTCGGCCGCTCCGTTATCCGTGTATATGATCCTCTGAACTGCTTCCGTGGGTACTCACAGAACCGTGTACGATGCGAGTACCCGTGAAACCGTGTACGATACTCATTTCGATGTAAGTATTCGCTACATACTATAAATATCTACGTGTAATTTTGTTAATTTTAAAGGTATGTGTTTTATAATCGTTTGTAGTGATTCTCATTCCGTTTGTAATTAAAATATTCTATGGCTAAACTGTTTCGTTTTCTCATTATGGATATTAAACACATTTCCAAATTCAATTTGCTTTGCGGGGATTGTACATTCTTAATTCAAACTACTTAACTACAAAACGAAAATTAGTATAAACAATCCTAAAACGCCTTTTAAATTGATAAAATTACACGCAGATATCTGTAGCATATAACGGATATTCACACCGAAATAGGTATCGCCCATATCGCTCACAATTCCGCAAGTATTGCAGACGGGGTTCTGCGAGTACCTGAATTAGCGGAATTAGTCCAAAGTCGTATACGGGTAACGTAGATGCGGGTGGGTACTCGAATTTTACGTTACCCGACTTCTTTTCCAAGCTCTACTTACAATTTTAATTTTTTTTTATTTCATTGTGTTAACCCATTCATAAGTGATTTTCGTAGACTTTTTCATGCTAAATTCGAATCCGTAGCTCATATTTTTCCATTATATGAAGTTTATTTTAATTTAGTTAGAGTTATTTTAATTTAAATATGCCCAAAAAGCCTTTTTGGCACTTTACGATTAAGATATCTCGAAAACCTTATGTGATGGAACAAGTTTAGCTGCGAATTGATTTTAGCATATTAAAAACCATCAGAATTACATATTGTCGTTTCTGGGTAAAAAAAAATTTTTTTATAGTTATATATTATATTAGGTCAGAAAAAAGTTTTGCAGTATTCTTTAGCTCAAAATTATATGCAGATAATGTTTTCCATTATCTAGTAAAATTATCTAGATGGAAGAATGGCTTTATCTTATCTTTATCTAGATTATTAAAAATATAGATTATCTTCATCTTATCTTAGGTAAAAGAAATATTATTTTTTTCAAATTAACTAAGATTGTAGAAGAGTATTGTAAAAAATATTTATATAACTTCTAGTAGTAGATGATAAGGATTTCTTTTGTGATATAAATAAAAAAACTAATGTAAAACTGTATATTACCGAAGACCTCACTGATTTCAATGACCTTGACACATGTTATCAAAATCATGACCTTGAGTCACCTCCAATGAATTAATCTTAATTATCGCTCGTTATTCGTATTTAAAATATATTTTATGACTTTTCGCACGAAGCAATTTTCACCCCACCTCCCCCCCTGTCAGGGGGCATACTTTCCGTCGCTCGTTATTCGTTAAAAAATTATCAACAACAAAAGTTTAAAAAATAGCGTAGTAATATACAGGGTGTTAGTTAAGTATGTTGCCATATTCAACAGAGCGATTCTTTGGTTTATTTCAAGTAAAAAAGTCCATATAGACATGTGTCCTAAACAGCTTAGTTTCCAAAATACAAAAATTTAAACGTGTAGTAATAACCTGTTTATATTTGAAAGAAATACAGTTTAAACTAGTCAAAACCTAATCAAATACAGAAAAACAAAAATAGGCTTCAGTTCTTCTAATAAAATAAAACAATTAGATGAATTGTTGAAAATGTTGCGCCATAATACATCTATCGAGCCTTCTTCTCAAAGATTGACGTACACGCAAAGACCAGGTGTGTTACGTATTGCCTCGCATGAAGCAACTATTCGATTCTCTCAAATCATTCTCATTCTCAATTGGGATGATATAAATCAATGATTTCAGATGCCCCCAAAGGAAATAATCCAAAGGATTTAAGTTTGGTGATCTAGGAGGATTTGACTTTGACTTTATCACTTTGTTTACGGTTGTGCGAATGGTAACTCACGTGAAGCAAGACATATTTATGCAGGAAGATATTTCCAACGCAATTTACTGTTTCGTCAAACATTTGCTAACATTTACCTATATTTCGGAAATTAAGCAGTTTAGGACACATGTTTATACTTTTTTACTTGAAATAAATCAAAGAATTCTGTTGGCAACATATTTAACTAACCCTGTATATTGCGAAAAAAACGTCTTTTTTTCTGTTATGTAAAACAAAAATGTTCTGCTTTAAAATATATTTTACGACTTTTCACGCGAAGCGACTCTCACCCTACCTCCTCCTTGCTAAATATTTCACGATATAAAACATGGAAAGAACATTTTGCAGGTTACTCAGCTAAATTTTTATTTCAGCGACTTTATAATTATCTTGAACGAATAGATGCTTTTTTTATATGATGAGTAATATATATTCAGTATCTGAAAATGTTATAGAAATAAATGATAACTAGTTATCATAATTATTTATTACATATATTTTATTTAACACAAACTATAGCAATCGAAGCCTTAAGAATATTCAAAAAATATTACTAAGGCCTCAATAGTCTAGAGGCTTTAGAACGCTCACGGAATGCAAGAGATCCGGGTTCAACTCCTGACCGAGGTAATATTTGTCGCAATAAGAATTAAGTATTTACAGATTTTAATATGTTACTCAGTATAATTAATATCATTTCGAAGATGCGAAAAAACATTAAAAAATTGTAAAAATTGCCAATTTTAATTCATGATATTACTGCGATAGTTTAGTAGAATTAGCGTTTCAAGACCGAAAAATCATTTGGGCCCGCGTTTCAAAAAGGACTATGTAGTATTTAAATTCACACAGAATTATAGAAGCATTTAAGATCCAGCTAGACTTGTTTAAGGTTTTAATTATTATAATTTGTGTTATCACATATACGGTCCTATAATATATTATATTATATATTTTATTTGTTCAAATTTGTGTAAAAAGAATATGCGTGGGGAAGGGGTTCCATCCCTCCCTCTGTACCCTCATCCCGATTTAATCCATCCCTTATCTAATTTCTCCAAGCAGATACTACTCTTTTGTAGCAATAATTTTGTAGCAAAGTTATTTCTTAAATCGTTTTTTTTTTTGTTAATAACTTTTGAACAAATAACGACTGCGGAAAGTCATGCGCCACTTGGTAAGGAGATGGGGTGAGAGTAGCTTTGCGTGGAAAGTCATGAAATAGAGGAAAAAATAGTATTATGGCGTCCCAATTACATTTTACACAATAACTTGGTTAATAATTAATATTTAAGTGTAAAACTTGACAATTATATTTGTTAAAATGTTATTAAATCAATTCTCGAAGTTATAAAATAGTCATTACTTAGAACACTTTAATAAAAATGTGGTGACATTGCATAACGAAGGAAAACATGGATGATAATATGGCCTACTATAAAAATTGCTTTACAAAATTATTTTTGTTTAGAAAACAATATTTAGTCATAAAATTAACAAAAAAGTAAAACATTCACATAATTTCTGCATATAAGATGCTCAGTATTAAAAATTTTAATACTAAAAATAATACACGTAATATAAACTATAGATGAACAGTAGAGTTGCAATCAATTACCAAACAATTATTTTGAAAGCCTCAAAAAAAGATCGTAAGTAATCAATAGCAATAGAGGGCCACATTAGTAAAATGTTATTGTTTAAATTTGCGTAACTTAAAATATATACATTCAAATAAAATGTTAAATAGCAAACAACACACTCAAAAATATATATAATTGTGTAATAAAACTCAAGTTTAAGAAAAATGAGAAAGTAAGTGTAATTAAATGCTAAAATGTATCTCAGAAACGTTTCGAAATATTTGGAAGTAAATAATAAAAATGTGTTATAGTAAGTATTGGCTATTGAGTATTGGTATATTAACGCCATAGTGTAACGACGAGCTACTGAACAAATGATTCCATAAGTAATCATTAGGATTTGCTACGTAATAGTGGAGATATTAAGGCCACATG